GCAAGGCCTTCAGCCAGGGCTCCTCGCTCACGCTGCACCTGCGCACGCACACGGGCGAGCGGCCCTACGCGTGCCCCGAGTGCGGCAAGGCCTTCAGCAGCCGCTCCTACCTGATCCAGCACCACATCGTGCACACCGGCGAGAAGCCGTTCGAGTGCAGCGGCTGCGGCAAGGCCTTCAGCTTCTCCTCCGCGCTCATCCGACACCAGCGCACGCACGCCGACAAGAAGCCCTACTCGTGCGGCCGCTGCGGCGCCTCCTTCACGCGGCCGCAGCACCTGACGCGACACCTGGGCTCCCACCGGGAGGACAAGCCGGTGGGCAGCAGCGAGCCAGCGGACGCGGCCCCCGGCCGGCGGGAGGACGAGAGCTGATGTTCCCAGGGGCCTGCCGCAGCGCGGCGGCGCGCCAGGCGCGTTCACACCCCACTTCCGGCCTCGGGGCGCCGGGGGCACAGCCGCTGGCCTCCCGGTGCTGCCCGTGAGGACCCCGAGGCTCAGAGAAGCTCCGTGACGCGCCCGGGTCCCACGGGGAGGAAGTCCCCGCCGGGGCTCGACCCCACGTCTGCCGGACTGGACCCCCACCCCCGCCACACACACACACACACACACACTCGACCCCACGTCTGCCGGGCTGCCCCCCCAACCCCACCCATGCTACACACACACCCTCTGCCTCCCGGTGCAGAATTATAAATGTGACCCACAACAGTAGACCCAAAGAAGTGTCTGTGCGTCTCTAGCGAGCCTTTTAATGGTTGAAGGTTTTTATGACAGTAGGTATTTGTTCAATAAATTTAATTGGATAAAAGGTTCGGCTCCTTTGGTGAAGTGGGTATATTAACTAAGGGAGCGGGGCCTGAAGGAGAAGTGTAGCTTCTTAGGACTGAAGCAGTGCTTCCCAAATTAGAACGAGCCAGAGAAATGCAGAGAAGGACAAGTTCTAGAAGAGACTTGCCTCTCCCCTGACAGACCTGCAAAGGGAGATTTTGAGAGTGGACCCCGGCCTTTTTCAGTGTGAGGACACACGTGCCCCTACTCCAGCTTTCTCCCCCCACCCCCCCAATCCCAAATCCTGCCTTTAATGATCGTGTCAGCTTTTGCTGTGTAAGCCATCCAGAGCGCAGTTGTCTGTTTAATATTTCCCATGGTGGGTGTTTCTCTTGGTCTGGACCAGGCCCAGGGGATCTTGGCTAGACTCGATTATGCATCTGCGGTCAGCTGAGGTTCGGAGGGAGGCTGGCTGTCCCAGGACTGCTCAGCTGGGCCAACTTCGCTGTCTTCCTCAAGACTCGCATCTAACCTGGGTATGCGCTCTTAGCAGTAGCAGGAGTTTGGGAGAGTGGACACACCCAAGCACAGTTTCAAGCCTCTGATAATGTCAAGTTTGCTTCTGGACCTATCAGCAAAGCAAGCATCATAGCCAAGCCTGGGGACAGTGTAGGAAGGGCCTTCCCAATGGTGTGGGAGACAGACGAGAGTAGTTACCTACTATCCCAGTGAGGTAATTTATAGTCCGACAGCACGATCTCTACAAAATTATGTTATGGGTAACACATTTCTTGGATCCACAATTAGCAATTAAAAAAAAAAAATCCTACCCCTATCCTACTTCATTCCCTCTACCCACCAAGTCCCCCTCCCTAGGAGCAACCATTCTTGAGTTTCCTGGTATCTTTCCAGCATGTTCTATGCATATAGAAGCAAATATTTATGTGACTATTTAAAAAGATGTACAGCATACCTTTCTACAGAATAGTAGCATATGGCATACAGTTTCCCACCTTGTATTATTTATATTTGGAAGCACTTTGTATCATTAGAGAAGAGAACAGATGTTCTCATTTCACAAAGTTTGGGCATCAGATTTCATAGGTATAGAATCACTTACAGTTGTTTTGATCTCACTGTGCTGTGTCCAGCTCCAGAAAAGAAAAAAAATCACGGAAAAATATTTTTCAGTTAGGAATGTCTTTTTTACAAGGTTGACCCAAAAAAACTGTCCTGTGTCATGGGACAACATAAACCCCCCTCTGCATAAAAACGAACCCCCCACGTTAAAACATTTTCGTGAGATTTTTCAATTATACAAAAAAGTGTAAAGTACAATAAATGCCCATACGCCCATCCAATTTGAATGCCTTAAAAAATACTATTTTAATAGAACGGGAACACAGTACCTAAAAATGTTTTCATAACAAAATCTACCATATTTTATGATACATACTTGCTTTTAAAATAGGTCATGAAAATATGCCTATGTTTTTTTCCTGGTCTATTTTAAAGTAACTTGCAGATATGATATCACTTTACTGCTAAATACCTTAGTTTGCATCTCTTTTAAAAAAAAAGTATCTTCTGTACAACCACAATGTTATCACACCCCGTAAAATATTAATTTCTTGATATCATCCAGTGTCTATTCCATATTCAGATTACCTTAGCCCCTGAAAAAGTTTGAAAAAGGGATGTAATTTGTCAGAAAATAATGTCAAGCCTTGAAAATAAACACAAATTATCTTTAATGTGTATAAGGAGGAGGGAAGAGAAGACGGCGACACAGACACAAACACAAAGTCATCTGTCTTCCTGTCCACCAGCTTCCTTGGCTCTCAGTCCTACCAAGGAAGCTGGTGAGGGGCCAAGGAGGACACGATGTGTGCCTTTACTTTTGCCCTGGCATTATCTGCACAGGCCTTGGCACGCAGTAGGTCCTTGGGAAATCTCACATGAATAGACGAATGAGTGAAAAATCCCTGACCTGCCTTACAGAGTCAAGACTCGTGTCTGAGTCTTCTCTGTGCTCCAGACATCACTCAGGCCTCAGCACAGAGTAGGTCCTCATGAAGTACTGGGTGACTAGTTGTACATCCCAGCATCAGCCCTGGAGTCATTCAGGGTCAGAGACCACACAGCTGGTTCCTTCCTGTACCCCAGACATCACCCAGCCCAAGCATCAGCACACAGTAGGTCCTTAGGAGATATAAATTAATAGGGCATGTAAATTAATGAATAAGTGAATATCCTTAGCACCAGCCCTGGATCAGAGAGCATGCATCCTGGTTCCTTCCTGTGATCCAAACTGTCTAGCCCAAGCCTCAGCACATAGTAGGTCCTTAAGAAGCTCTAGGTGACTGAACAATTGTACATACCAGCATCAGCCCTGGAGTCATTCAGATTCAGGGAGGACACAGCCTGTTCATCCCTATGCCCCAGACACCTCCCAATCCAGGTGTCAGCACACAGTAGGTCCTCAAGAAATACTGAATGAGTGAATAGTTGAACATCCCCAGCTCCAACCCTAGAGCCATTCAGGGTCATGGACCGCACAGTCAGACTCCTCCTTCTGACCTTCGCCCAGCTGAGGTGCTCTGCACACAGTAGGTGCTCAGGGAGTGCTGGGTGAATGGATGAATGAGTGGAATGGGAACCTAGTTGACAGACACGGGCCTGAGTTCCGTCACCGCAGAAGGCAGGGGAAACTGACCCTCTGCGGCGAAAGGGCTGGAAGTCTCCGGGCTCTGCGAGAATGGGCGGGGCCGTGGGCGGGGCAGGCCCCGGAGCCCTTCCGCCAAGACGTCAAGGAGAGCCGACCCCGTGCGGTGCACCCGCGCAGGGGGCTCCCCTCGGAGTGCGGTGGCGCGTCCGCGGGAGCGGGGCCTCCTCGTGGATTTGCGCCACGCTGGTTCCCACGCTGCTCAGTGTCCATCTCGCGTGTCGGCCGCTTGGCCGGCTGTGCCCCCCAGCAGACCCGGAGGGTGGGCGTGTGCGCGACCAGGGTCGCAGCCCCGGAGGACAGGGCCGTCTGGGGCCCCGCCTGCTGCAGAAGGTGGCGCACGCGAGCGGTGCCCGGAGTCCACAGCGGTGGAGGAGCTGAGCTCCGGGAGGCGCGCTGCGGAAGACACCTGTTTCAGAGCTTTCGAAATGCCCGATGGGGTGAGGGGGAAAAGGAATCGGCAATCAAGGAACACCGCAGCGCCGCCAGCCCGTCAGCCTCACACCACGCATGCCAGGTTCCTCCTTAGGGTTTTAGATTGGCCATATTTGCCAACTTATGTGACGCCCCCCCCCCCACTGTGTTCCCCAGATACTATATACAGATACCACCCTGGGTCGGTTCCAGGAGAGGACAGAGCAGCTTCAAGCGCATGGGGGAGGGGGTCGGAAAGGGTTGGGGTCCCACCAGCTGGCGTGGAGAGAGTTCCTGGGAAATGCAGGCTGAACTCTCCCCTCCCCCAACTCAACCTTCCCAGGACTCAGTTCCTCCAGGGAGACCCGGCAGAGGAGGACAGACCAGAACCTCATGACCCCATAATGATCAGGTGGTGATACAGGTTATGCAGACAGTGACCAGCGGAGGGAGGTGCTATTTGGGGACGGTGGGGGAGGCCTCTCTGAGGAGACGTTGGAGCGGAGCACTGCAGGAGGTGAGGGAGCCATGTCAGCTTCTGGGGGAAGAGCATTCCGGGCAGAGGTCCATTCCGGAGGCAGTGCAAAGGTCCGGAGGCAGGCGCATGATGGGCTCGTTCAAACAGCAGAAGGCCAGTGCGGATGCTATAAATTAAGCCAATTTCATCCCGAACTTTGGTGGCGTAACATGAATCAATAATTAGTCACCAATGAGCTTAAGCTCATTTGAATTGAGCTTCTGTTATTTGCAACCAATAAATCCTAATGAATGTAGCAGCTGAGGCTTGTGTTTCTTTTAACTGTCTGTTGTTGCTCGTTGGATGCAATCAGCTGGAGGGAAGGATGGGGAGAGACAGAGTCCCATACTTCTCCCGGCCCTGATTTCTTTGACAAACTCAGGAGAGGCCACTGGAAGTCCTATTAAAACAAAATGATACAAAGAGTCTAAATACACACACGTACACACACACACAGATGAATTAAAAAAGAACAGGATGGAAATACCAAACTCTATCAGTCAAGGTAAAATAAAAGCCAAAGGATTGAATTGGTTTAAAGACGATCATTTTCTATTTCACAAAGGATTCAGAATCAGGTTTTAACTAACATTTATTGCGTGGCTACCGTCTGCTGGTATTGTGCTTAGTGTCTTGCATGTATTCTTTAATTGGCAAAGACATAACAGTGCTGTAACTATGTGCAGCAGATGACACAGTGGCTGAATACATAAAGCAAAGGTTACAAAAATATATTGACAAACACAGTCATACGAACAGATTTTCACATAACCTTACTGGTTTTTGACAGATAAGGTGAGCCAGAATTAAATAACACATGAATCTAAGCAATATAACTGATAAGACTGAGTTAATTAACAGACACGTAGAGTTTTGAATCCTACAGACTGGAAATACATATTCACCTTAAATGTCCATAAAACATGTACAAACATTGGACGTGTTGTAGGCCACAATAAAAGCTTTTAAAAGGGTGTTGAAAGCAGATATATTAGAGGCCACATTTTCACAGTGCAGTAAATCATTAAAACAAAACTATTTTTAAATAAACCTGATCACTGAGTTTAAAGTACTCTTTATATTGTAGAAACACTACAATATAACATTTAGGCAACAACATAAACAAGAACACAAATTACCAAACTTTAAGATGTGGCCAAGGCTACAATCAGAGAAGTACATTTATTATTAAGTACACTAGTTTAGCAAATAATTTTGTAAGAAGAGATTATAAATGAATTAATTATTCAATGTAAAAACAGACAAGAGATAGAAATAATAAAAAAAATAAATAAACCCCATACGTATTAATGGAAAACAAATGACAAACTAGAGAAATACGGATATAAATAAATCCCAATGCTAGTTCTTGGAAAAGTAATTGTAGATGAGGTAAAACTTTGATAAATCTAATAGTGGGTCAACCAAAAACAGAAGTTGAAAGGAAGAAAGGGGTTAGAACAAAATAAAGTTTTTCATTTAATTATAGAATAGTATTCATAATTCAGCCAATAATCTGAAAAGTTCAATGGAATGAAGAATTTCCTAGGGCATTAAAAAAAAACAAAAACGCTATAAATCACCAAAATTAATGAAGTAAAAAGTATTCATAAACCGATAACATGGGAAGAAACTGAGAAAGCCCCCCAAGAATTTAGCTGAAACTTTCTCCCCAGAGCTCCAGGCCCTGATTACTGGTAAATTCTTTCAAAATGTCAAGGAAGTGATACTTCTTAAGCTACAGAAACTATTCTAAGGTTTAGACAACAATAAAAGTGATGTCCTTCTATGATGCAAGTCTGGCCATGTTACCAAAATGTGACAAATATAGCACCAATCTTACGTATGAAGAGAGAGGCGAGAGTCATACATAAAATATCATGAAGTACAATTCAGGGTCTGGAAAGACTGGTGCACCATGATCCTAAGACTACAAAGATGATGTGATATTAAGAAGTCTACCAGATTTCGTCAATCCCAAGTTGCACATTTTTTCGTCCTCTCTGAAGCAGGGATGCATCTTCCGGTTGGTGGCATCTTACGATGAAGCAGCATATTTTCCTTTCTCAGTCGTATATAAAATAATATGTGTTTTACAATCAACAATGTCTTAAGTTCAACGAAATACCATAATGCAAAACCTCACCCCAAAAGGTTAAATACAAAAAAAAATTTTTTCTTGATAGATGTTTAAAAGGCATTTGCTAATAACCTATTCCTGATTTTTAACCAAGACATTTCCTTAACAAGAAACAGTGCATCTATTTCAGAACAGTCGTCATCACTGTAGTTAAATGTGGAACATCATAGGCATCCCTGTTAAAACCAGGAACAAAAACAGGACACACACTACCAAGACTATGGTCGTTTGTTGTGGAGCTTTCGACCACTCCACAAAGCCCTGGAACAGAGAAAAAAAAAAAAGTACAAATATTAGAAACAGAGGGGCCAGCACTGTTTCTTGCCTGGCACAGAGTATGAGCTCTGTAAATCTTTGTCAAATGAACGCAGGAACAGAAAGACATACCATGATGAAGGATGGGAAGACAAAACGGTTAATGGTGACAATTCTTCTCCAAAATAGTGATGAGTAGAGTGCAACAGGTCTTAAAATATCAGGAAAGTTTGGGGAATGGATATGACATAGGGAGTTATCTGGAAAGCCAGGCAGTGGCGACATGAAAAAAAAATCCTGAAAAAGAAGAGAAATGGATGGAGCATATACTATGAAATGTTCAACCTAAGCAGCTCTGAGACCTGGCAAAGCCTCCGAAAAACTTGGAGGATATTTTTCGAATATCGGGGCTCCTCCCTTGGATTTTCTAATGCAGTAGATCTTGGCTAGGACCAGAACATACAGATTTTTATGAAGTTCCTCATAATTCATGCTATAGAAAAATAGGACAACTTGACACATATTTATTTTTCTGTGGCAATCACAACACCAAAATCTGACAATTCATCAGTTGAGGAAATGGGTTTGACACAGCATACCAACCACAAAATATTTGGCAGCTGTAAAAAGTAAATTAAAAAGGGCGCCTGGGTGGCTCAGTCGTTAAGCGTCTGCCTTCGGCTCAGGTCATGATCCCGGGGTCCTGGGATCGAGCCCCGCAT